ATTTACAAATAAATAATAAAAAGTATAACTCGTTTTTTATTTTATATAGAAACTCTTTTATTAAATACAAAACTTTGATTTTTCGATAAAGTTCTATTTTATTATAATAATAGATCCTACAGACATTACACAAACTTGCTAGAGATCTGTTATAATCTTTAATAGTGATAATTGGACTGATTTCGAATAGATTTATAAAATAATATTAATAATTACTTAAATATAATCTATTATTAATGAGGATGAGGAAAAGCTAAAAGGATTAGAGAATATAATTAATCTATTATATATAGATTTTATAAAACAATTAATCAATAGCATCTTTATTTTCAATAATTCTATAGAAATAATCTATTATTTATTAATCTTTAAATTAATTATTAAATGTGATATATAACGGATATAAAGAATTCTCAAATTATATAACAAATCCAAATATTCTCAATACTTTATTAAAACAAGGGCAAAATTCAATCAACAACTATTTAATCCGAAGATATAGTTAATACAAGGGTTTATTAATATTTTAAAAAATCATTAATTATTTATATTAAATATTAAATCTGTAATTACAAATATAGACATTTTTTATTATCTTTTATAATCATTTTTCAAAAACAAGAAATAGTAATCTAATAAATCCTTTATTTTAAATACAAGGCTATTATTTATTAATACTATTTCAAACCTTAGTATAATCGAAAAACTAATCAAATCCTTTGTATTCTTTATTAATATTGAAGTATAAGTCAAGTATAATTGAATGATAAATTATATAAACTGGATATTATATAATAGGTTCAATGTTTGTTAACTAATTTAAAGAATATTAAGAGAAGGAGTTTTCTAAGAAGTTATATATATGTATATATTAAACTAATAACTACTTATTATATCCTGTATATATATTATATATATTATGTCACGGGTTCACTACCCGTTCCTAGCTAGCTCGGATGGATGCCTTAGGTATCCATCCACCATATAATCATTGTCACTTTATATACCTCCTTCTCTCCTTATTAAATATCATATATTATACCTAGTACCCACCAGAATCCGTACCAGCCCCGTAATAGTATATTCGATCTTTCAAAAGGTTCCACTGCCGATTAGCCTAATCTTCATTCTTTTATTTTATAAAAAACTTGTAGGATTATTGTTTATTATATAATACAATTGATTACTTGATAAAAAGTGAATTTGAACAATTTCATTTTACAAAAACATTAATACTATAAATACCTTAATATTACGAATACTGTGACGGAACAGACGGCTCTCTTCCGCCCACTGGCTCATACTACATACATAGTATGATATGACGGCTCTTTTGGACCTTCCTTTCACAGCTTAGAGCCCTAGCTCTATAGCTCTAGACCTAGGCATCTTACGCCTAGGACTCTTTCACCCTTTTGGGCCTAGCCCTTATGGCTCCCAATACCTGTATATATAGTCCTCCTTTTAGCATCCTACATAGCTCTTCACTTGTAGATTCTAAGTATACAATCGGAGTCCTGTTTATACCCTTTTGGTCACATTGGTGATGAAAGTTGGTGAGAAGTGTGAATGTGTATATTGGATTGAATTAGTATTGCGGCGGATACTGCGCCGGAACTGCAACATAGAAACCGAGGTGCCCTGAAAAACGATTCGAAGAGTACAGCGAGGCGAATTGTTTTTCCGGCACCGAGGGGTAAAACACTGAGTGGTTGAACATTTTTCCTGAAAATCACGTGAAGAATTTCAATATTAGTACACTTTTCATATTAATTCATAAAATGAAATCTGAAGAGATGATATTTAAGAATAACCTTTCAATATTCATAATTATCAAATTAGATTATCAAATTAATAAGTCTCCGGAGGACGAGCTGCGATATAGACAGCAAGGCGAATTATTTTTCCGGCACCGAGGGGCCTGAGTCAAAGCTTGTTATATTAATAGGCTATAACCTACGTTATTAAGTGGACAAAATAACTTATGAATATTTATTGGGATTTTTCAATATCCCACTCCGTTAGCGGATTACTCGTAGGTTATGTACAGTAATAATATTATGCTACCTGAATGTCTGCAACTCGGGTAGACGGGTATATAGAAGGAGGAGGTAAGCCTACAAGGGAGTAACCTAGTCCTTTTAGTTCCTGAGTTGCAGAGTATGAATACAGGTAAACTATAAGGGTTCAACGGTCACTAGTCTTTTTAGTTTCCCGAGTTGCGGACTGACTTTCTGGCAGTACAGTCCACATATTATTAATAACCCGCCCTGTGGGGCCCCGTTGCCCGTCCCGGGCCGCTGCCACTGCTATTGCCACTGCCAAGGTGAAGAATTCACTCAAAAGGGTGCAGCAAGAGAGATGATTTGAGAAGCTAAGACTGTGTAAGCAAAAGCCTAGATTTCTTTATTTAAGTCTTAAGGACCTCCTCTTCTCGTTGGGTCATGTTTACAATCCAAAATTCCAAAACTTTTGCGATGTTTGTATGCGACAATATTCTCCTATTCTCTCATCTTTTATTCAGAATCGGATTAACTTGGTTACTATACTCTAACATTGTCATTGATCTCGTTCAACAACAACAATTTCAAAGTTCTGCAATCATCTTCTATTCGAGACTCTGATACGGAGGGTTGCAGACTGCAACTCTCTGTATCAACTTGCAATAGGTAATTATTGTAAAACGCACAAATCACCCCATATGCAGCAAGGGTTTAGCCAATAAGATCATCACGTGATTAAAGTCATTATAAATTCATACCTCTCACCACTACTCACCTACCCCTCTTTCCTCACCTATGCTTTCAATTCTACCAGGGTCTATGGGGCCAGAAATATCTTACAACCTCCTCATTTACCCCTTTATCTATATTTACCCTTCTCAAAAGTTTGCTTTTTATGATTTATACTGTATATGCAACAGCAGTAGCAATAGCAGCTGTAGAGTCAAAGAGGTCTTACAATACTTACCCCACCGACTCTTCTTACCTATAAATGACCCTGCTTTCAATTCTACTAGGGTTCTTGTGGGGCCAAAGTTACAATCCAACAACTTCTCCTCATCTACCTTTACAATTACTCGTGTCGCCAGAAAATGTCTTACAATTAATTACCTACCCTCAGTGCTCACCTATAAAAGACCCTGCTTTGATATCTACCAGGGTCTGTGAGGCCAACCAAGAAATGTCTTACAACCCAACCTCCTCATTTACCCCAGTGGCGCTACTACCCCTTACAATTACCTACCCTTATCACCTATGAAAAACCCTGCTTTCAATTCTATAGGGTCTGTGAGAGCAAAAGGTCTTACAATCCAACACACATCCATCAAGCAAGCATATCTAAATGCAATATTGTGCACCGACAACATACCAACCGCACTTCGGATGTTACAGTAAGTTGTTCGGATCCAAACCTTAGTAAGGTTTTGGTGTGTGATTAGATAGATTATCTCGCTTAAGTCAGAATTTCATAATATCATCCTTGTAATAATACTATATCCACCTCTCCCCCCCTTCTTTCTATTTCTCCGCTCTTTCGCACGGACCCCTACAGTAGTTTGCTTAAGAGTCGATCACCTTTCCACCCTTTTCATCCTTTCTCCACAAACAACTTTCAGTCAAATTAGTTTTGACACTGCACTTCCGATTACTATTCCCCTTTCCACCTTTTCCCAACGCCATTATGACATCACATCCGATCAGGTCTAGAATACCACAAGTAAGTCTTATCATTCAATCGGCATCGGTGCAAACAGACCTGTCTAAACATTATGATCCCTTCTAACTAATTATTTGCAGACTTTAGATGGTGTTGACCCATACGATCGCAATGTCTTACCGGTAAGATTTATTTCCTCACACACTGTTTCGATTCTCCTTCCTGTCTGCCAGCCTATTCTGAACACATTTGGTTTCAAGAGAAGTGGAATCACAGTCACCTATCGATTTCGAACTTCTCCCTCTACCACAAGGACAAGCAAGCTCCCATTTGTTCCACTTGACTTCAAACTCATTTCACCTCAAAAACCTACCTACTTTGGCGAGGGGGGAGCTTCTCCTTGTGTGGGAATTGTGAGACTTCAGCTATCTTATTGTGTGCAAAAATTCATCTGGTGTGGAAATCAAGCTCTGTAATGGGGCCTGGTTGTGGCTAATCTCCCGATCTGTGTGACCTTTCCTTCAGTCATCGGGTTTGAAGGTACCATGGGATCAACGACTTCTCTTCGCACTGACCGTAAGCTAGAGCGGCGGATTGAGTTCCAGGGCGTTTTTGCTGGATGCTGGGCAGGAAGCATTTTCTTTTCAGTGTGAGATCTTATTCAGCATAGCACATCGCTGACTTGGGGATGAGTAGGAGGGCCATCGGTTGACTCGAAAAGAGGTTCTTCAGTGGAGAGCTGGTGTACATAAGGACCAGCTTTTGGCCAAACAACAACTAAAGTAAGTCATTTTCTTAATATCTGTCCCCATTAATCAGTACATCACTGACATCATACATACAGTGCTACTGCAGAGGTTCCAACTGAGGCATCCCTGCGTCAACAGCTCGAAGTCATGAAGATCCAGCACAATTTCATGAAAGCTGCCATTTCTTTAAAGCATGACAGGATAGATGCGACTGATGATAAGAGAGTTGCGTTGGAGATCAAGATTATAGAGATGAAGGATAGGAGTTGTCGGCTTGATGCTCAGATCAAGGATAGGAGTTGTCGGCTCGATGCTGAGATGAAAATCAACGTTATAGATTGCAAGACCAAGTTTATGGATAACAAGTTTCAGCTTGCTATTCGACTTTCCCAAGTTGTTAGTCCTCACTCCCTAATCGCTCACCCCGCATGCTATCAGAAGCTAACCAGTTATTTAGATCATTGGGTTTTTTCTCGTTGTTTGTAGTATCGCAATGTTTTACACAGGCAACGATCACATAGCCATTGGGTGTATGATTCCTGTTCCCCTTTGGATGTGTTGGCTCTTGTTTCAAAGACGGCTCTCGTAGGGTGGTCAAATGTCGCCTGTAGTTGGCAGACTGTGAGTCTCCTCTACTAGGCTGGCTAGGTATCACCTCTTTTCTCTTTTTGCTTCCGACTCCTACATACCCGTCAAGTTTAATTTTCGTTGCATTCATTTCCTACAGCTCTGTTCTGTGTTGAGATACCCTGAGATGGCGGTGATCCATCCATACGTTTTTCATTGGGAAGTTCGGAAGGTTTTCAAATTCAGTTATACGATAGACCATTTATTTGACTTTTGTCACTATTGTATATACTTAGATAATATCTATCCCATACAAACAGAAGAGAAATCATACAAATTTTATAAACATTCACTCACAATCGATATGTTTAACATATTCACTATAAAACACTCTATATGACTCACTCGATCTTACAACGACTATCTTTCATTACAATATATACCTCAAGTCACAAACTACGTCAGACCAACCTGACAAGGGAAACATTTTGCCCAAAACTCAACAAATGCAATGATGCATATCAAAACTCTAACATAAACAGTAGCGAGATCAGAGCTTAGATTATCTCAATAGAAACTGATTTTAAGTTGCCAGCAACCCTGTTTCAATACACTTTACTTTAACCTGCCGACGACAACCATCCGGTGGATCTCAAAAAGTATCGACTTGACAAAAAAAAGATTACCCTTGAAACCCACGACACTTCTTGGTTTCACGAACATGCTTCATGTATAACTTCAATCACCACTTTCCTGGATCCGACTAATACCTAGATCCTACTTCCCGCCGCTTCAGCCAGATATTTGTTGTAGAATCAAAAATACAAAAAGTAGGGATCATACAAGAGGGAAAGGAAAACACATCCATGGAAAGTAACAACTTCCGAACCAGTTTCCACTGTTCCTGTGTGCAGAATCTTGGTACCTTCGATGTATTATTCGAAGCAGCAAATGGAGTAGCACCTGTCCGCCGTTCATGGAACCATCTTCCTGCCATTCCAGCCTCTGACTGATGGAAAGTAGTTCTCCAACTGTAAGTGCTGTCTGAATGCCTTATACCGAACTGTTCCAGCTCTCTATCTCCCCTCTTGCCTTTAAATATTTACATTGACCATTCGGAAAGAGACTATTTGCTCGATCACCATCTCGTTTTTCTGCCTCGGCGATAAGTATCATTCCAGTCTGACCTAGTATTGTGATATATATTACATGCCAGTGCTGTTATAATTAGGGGAGAAGGAATGTTGGAGGGTATAAGGACTGGGGTACAGGATTACTTTTTTCTAACGAAGGAAGCCAGTTTTGTGGACGAGATATAATACTTTTATCAATATTATGTTCATATCTGTCGATAAGTAATGATATATCACCAAAGTAGACGATAAGATTTTCTGACTTTGTCAATCATTACTTCTAGACAGCCGCGCGTATTCAATTCTTTTTTGGATGCTTGTTCACAATTTAGGAATAACAAGTGTATCGTCTATTACTTTACCAGATATTCAAATATCAAATCAGACCACAGTCATCTTTTGAGTTGTACTTCAACATTAGTGAATCATTTGTGATATACTTCATTTCCAAACTGGCACCCCGCTATATTTTGTGTATGATTCTTTTCTTTGATCTGGTAGATTCCGATTCAAAATGTATTGCCCCGCAGTATTGATAGACCTTATCTATCCCGCCGAGAGAATGTAAAGGAGGAGAATTCGCATTATATATATCCATTCAAGCAGAGGGCACCTCACGTACTTGTACCCCCGGCGCCCGACGGCCTCTTATTGTCCCTGCTGTTACTATAGGCATTGCCTCGTTTGATGATATCGGAGAAGGAGGAGGAGAAGGTAAGGAAGGTTCGGACCGCAGTTTTTCGACTGTTTGAACACCTTGGACATATTGAAGTCGGGGGACTAAAGGCTGTTCAATAATATGGGGAGAGTTTATTCGAATCCTTTGAATGCGGGGTAATCGCATTGCTCTCTCTCTATCTCTGCACATTTGACACATTCTTAATTGCTTTCATTCATCAGTATGTGTAGGTTTAAGGAATAAAACGAAATACCTGCCACCACCTCACCTCGACCTGTGAGCTCACCTCTACCATCTATCACCTCACAATATGCCGGAGTTACCAAACGCACAAATCCTGCTCTAGACTGCGGACAGAGCTTTCGGCGCTCATTCGACCTTCTGTATAGTGACGAAGAAGGGTTGAAAAGGGATGCAAAACTCAGGAAATTTGGGAATGAAAGTATTCATTCAAGCTCCAGACGAAACTCTCGAATAAAAGCCGAATTAAACTCAAGATCTTACATGAGAGATATACCTGAGTTTAGGTCATCACGCGAAAGATCTAGGGCTTATCTCTATTTATTTTATGTTTTGTACTATGGATTGTTTTATTACGGAGTACAGTAGGATCATTAGAGATATGACAGGCAGTCGGGACGCACCACGGAGTAATCTATAATGATTAACAATTGTTTATTGATAGTAACAGGTTTAAAGATTGGGTTATCTTAGTTTAATCCCTATTTTTTTGTAACTTATATTCAATGAGCTTTTTTGAATACAAAGTTTTATTTATACAAAAAAGCCAAAATCACATAAGAATGTTCAGTATCATTGTTCAAGTTTGTATGATCAAGTCAATATAACTCCGAATTTCCTATATTAAACTATGATTGATAACCCATGCTTGTATGAGACTCAATTTGATTATGCCAACATACTTAAAAGTTGGGACCATGGATGAAAACGAATTTTCCATCCTGCTATCGAAGGAAATACCACATGTTATTATTTGGCTGTCTAAACATTTGTACAGTATCATCACCATCGTTTATAAAAAGACATGAAAAGTGTTCGCGGAGACTACTTTCTAGGCATTGAAAATCTTCCCAAGTTTTACGAGGTGTGTTGAACGACTTGCTGCGATGAATTCTGCATATTCTGTCAGGCTCAATACTACTATTGAGTTTACTGTAGTATATATTATCAATCTGATCAAGTTTCTTAGTCATTCTTGAATCGAGTCTTCCCATTATTGTAGAGTCTTCAAAGTTTCATTGTATTCTCCAGCAACAAAGGTGGTTTGATTATTTATTTATAAGGAGATGTATTTGCTATAGTTATTGTAACTGATGATATGTCCTCTTTAGCATTAGGATAAGTTTCTATATTTAACTAAGTTTCTGCTTTTGTAACAGTATCATCAGTAGTTGCTGGAGCGAAGGTCAAGGACTCCATATCTGTATCATTACTCTGAATAGAAAACTCTGGCTTGGAACTATCGAAGTTGATCTATGGACTAGTATCTGTAACATGATAAGCTAGCTATAATATGTGTTCTTTGTGTTGATTGAGTATAGATGGAAGTTTGTGATATTTCTTTTCTTCATTACTTTTCTTGTTGAGGAACTATCTTGTAGAGAAGTATTTCTCTGCCTATAGTAAATCGCGTATTCCAAAATCTTCAGGAAAGGGGTGGATATTATCTTTCTTTGGCAATAGGAATTTCTTACCCTCAATATGGCTAAAGGTCTTGTAGGACTTAAGTAATGTATTAAGCATAATAGCCAAAGATTGCCAAGGAAATATTAGTACCAAGATATCCATTGCGTCTGAAAACTGAGATATGTGAAATATAAAAACAAGAGAGATATAAATAAAGGGGAGAACATTTGGGTCCCTTATTCTCTGCAATACAATCTCTAATACAGAATTACTGAGATTCTGTACATATTTGAACATTATCATGAAGAGAGAAATGTCGTCCTGAACAAAATCTATATTAACATTGGCTGTTTTGTCTCCCGAAGAAGATCCAATAGCTTTTATGAGTAGATTTTGATTGATTGATTGATTTAATTTACGTCCATCTTCAGTCTAAGACTATATAGGACGGCTAGACCCTATAGGCACTAGCAGATAACTTTTTATTTTACAAAAATAGATATGTTCGATTTGGGGAAGTGAAAACAAATGCTGGGGACCAATGCCCGCTTATTATACGCGTTGCATATAATAAGAAAATATGAATATCAAGGGTTATAAGAGGGTTACCCCTCTACCCTCTCTTTCCTCCACTGCTACTTCTTCCTCTTTC